GGGAGGGGGAGGTGTTCTCCGCCGTGTGTGTTGAGGGTGGTGTTTGGGAGGGGCTACGGCTCCCTTTCAGGACGGGGAAACTGGGACTGCGAGAAAGAATGGGAGTTGGCCTTTCCAGTCAGCGCTGTGAGATTCTGCTCAGGGTCTCAATATCCTCCCCTGAACCTAATAGGAGTTAGCTCACCCTCCACAATAATCCATGCGGTGAAGTATCGTTACCCTTTTTTGTTTGTAAGGGAACAGGTTCAGAACGGTTCAGTGGCAGAGCAAGGATTTTTTGATACTCTTAACCCCTATTGCCTATCGTTGACTTCTGAAGAGGCCTCCAGTCCAAAGTAACCATTGTTGCAGAGGAACCCCAAGGGTATAGAGGAGGCCTCTCTCTGCCAGTGAATATCCATTCACTCAGCAGAAGTGTATTGGGGACGGGGGTGGGGGCGTGGAGGGGAGCGGGGCGGTGAAGAGCCACCGGGCGAGATTCTGCAGCGAACCAGGCAGCCAGGATCCAGCCTGCACCGAACTCTTGTATGGGATGCTTCCTGAGGGCTGTGTGATAGTCTCCCTAGGATGAAGCCAACCATTAAGCGAAAGGGGTTAGTCTGAAAATTCCCACCCCGCCCTCCCCCGCCCCATCCTCTCCAGTCAGAGACTTTGTAGGAGACGAAGGCGCCAGGCTCAGCTAACCAACAGGCACGTGATGGTATTCCTGACGCCAAAGAAACAAAAGACACTTCCGCAGAGGGCCCCCTAAAGAAATCAGAGGCCTACAGCTCTTCTGGGAAGGGACTGGGCAGGGAGGCCAAGCAGCTCCTTGGGTTACCGGGTCTTTGTCTACTAGCTGTGGTATCCAGTGTCTGCCAGGTGCCACAGCTGATGACAGGAAGATGAAAGGACCTACAGCTCTCACTCAGACTTTGTCTCACAACACCGCCCTGCCCTCAGCAGCTCAAGCTTCAGGTCTCCCCCTCAAGACCCACTGGAGCCCCTTTGCTCCCCAGCCTATGGCATACAAGGTGGCACCTTGTAAAGTCTTGTTGAGCATCGTGCGCAGTGCCACATCACACATCTAGCCTCAGGATCTAGCACGGGGCCTGGCATAAACTAGGTGTATGTTTTTTCCACACATCTGTGGTCCCCCAATATTAGAGTCACCAAGAGATTCTTGTTTTTAAAAAGCACATTTTATTTACTCATGCAGCTATTGTACGCATAGATTATCTCAGGAAAGATACACAAGTAATTGTTGGCCTCAGGGGAGGGGAACTAGGTAACTGGAGAAGAGAGTTGGGGTGATTTTTCACTTTATACCCTTTCTGCATTTTGATCCTTACGAATGTATTACATACTCAAAAATTTCTTTACTTCAAAAAAATTGGCATCAGGTCAAGAAAAATACAGATTCCCGGGTCCACTCTTGACATAATGAGTCAGACTCCCTGGGGGCAGGTTTTTCTGCCTTTGAACACGTTCCCCCAAGTGATTCTTAAACCCAGGGTAAGTTGAGAAACCACTATAGTAGGGACTTACTGATGAAGCATTGCTAAGAAGGGGCCAGCAGTGTCTGTCAAGGGTGACTCATTTAGATTCACACTTTCTGAATCCACCATACCCTCCACTCAGGAGACACAAGACAGTTGCAAGACTGCAGGGTGCGGGCTGGGGAACACGCATCCCCACTCATTTATCCGTAATCACCAGCCCAGGTCAAAAAGGACTGGCCCCGACAGAGT